ACGACCAATGAGCATTTTCTCCGACTTTATCCGACGTATGTGGGCAATCGCATACCAAAAGTACAAATAAATAATCTCGCGGCTCTCCTCAAACTCCTTAAGGAAGCGAAGGATACCCACACCTGTCGCTTTAGTTCGCAATTCCCCACGTTCCTGTCTTATAACATGCTCAACGGCAACATCCACTGCAAGGGATCGGGGAAAAACGCATGCATCTCCCAAAGTCCCCGTCTCTTCATCAAATGTGGGAAGTTCCAATGAATAAAGGGACTGTGCATCCTTCTTGAGGCGTCGATTGAGTCCTTCACGTGTTTCTTTTGGTGTTATTTTTAGCGTGGAATCTTCAGGTGTGAATATTCCCCCGATCGACCCATTGCAGGTCGTTTGTTTCGTTGCACCTCCCATCGAAGCTGAACTGCCCTTTGTTTTACGCGACCGTACCGTTGTCGCACTCACGAGATCCCACGTGCCGGATATCCATCTCCTGCTCCTCCTCCGCCCAAGGCGTCTTTCCGTTAGCCCGTTAGGATCCAGTAAATTCTCACTGCACCACTGTGTAAAGGCTGACAAGTTGATATCCCCCAACTTCTTAATCGAGGCGGCTCTTTTTGGAGGGTTTTCGTTTATTTGAGGCTCTGACCATGTCACAGGGAGAGTTCTACTCCCTCCCACCGTGTGGTTGGAGACGCTACATACATCATTGAGAGGTAAAGACGTGTTATTAGCCTCTGATAACAGGGGGGAATAATTCGCACCCCATCCAGAGATAGAGCTGTTCGCATTTATTTTTTGCTCCTGTTCATGGGAGAGCTGTGGTTTAGGTTCCCTGCTGTTTGCAGTCTCTGGCGGTGTTTGTGGACAAATTGAGCCCTCCACAAACACAACGGTCTGCCGCGTCCGTGGGATTGAAAGTTCCAGTGCGGCTCCCCGCGACTCTTCCAACCGAGTTGGAAAGAACGGTGCTTGTTTCAACTGCCCGGTAGAATGCATTGTGTCGTTTCTGTCCTCCTGGGGTTCAAATGACTGCAGTGGAGAGTGTGACGATGAATTGGATGGGTTTATCGCTTTGGATTCAGATAAATGCGTGAACGCACTATTCAATGGCACGTGCTCTGTCATGGCCTGACCCGCACGGTGCGACCCCGCTCCAGCCGCCATCGTACCACCAATGGGCTGCAACGGCTTTGCTCCCATTTTCATGCGCACCTGCTGTAGACCCTCGCCGGATGAAGTGAGATGCTGCGTTGAAGGAACGACTTCGGATGGCTGTCTTTGCTCTTGTTGTTGTTGTGTAAGCCGCAGTGGAGCTAGAAGAGTACCACCACTCCTTGGAGGTGATGCGTCATTTGCGTTTAACCCCCTCCCATATTCCCTCATATCTCCCCGCAGCCGCAAATGTCAATTGCCACACTCACTCACTCACTCACTCACTCAGGGGGAAAAACACACAACAACAACAACAACAACAAAAACAAAAACACGTCGCGGAGTGCCAATTTCCCTCCTTCCCAGTCCCCCCCCCCCCTCCTAACTAAACAGTTTACGTTTTTTGATTAGAATAAAATATGTAACTGTGCACTTATGTGAATTAAACGAAAAGTACTTCTCCCTTTCCCCGCACAAAACGCAGCCAATTAACAGAGAAATACTAATTAAAAGCAAAAAAAAAAAGAAAAAAAAAAAAGAAAAGTGAAAAAGATATATATATATATATATATATAGAGAGAGAGATATGGGGAGAGAGAGACAATAAAATTAATAAAGCAATATATTTATTCAGAAGCACACATGGATGCAAACTCATTCCAATACGTATGCATCGACATTACAGCGGAAAGTGATGCACAAAAAAAGAAAGCCCATATAGGCATACGTACAAATACACACAATTTTTCTCTCCTTCTCGCTATCATGACTACTCCGCACATCATCAAATATGTGCATACCGACCTACTCATTCTTTCTAACAGCTTTTTTAGCACCCCCTGTCTTTCTTTCCCTATCCCATATACTCACCCCTCCCCTTTGCCAGATCCAACCCAACCCTCCTAACTACATCTACCCTTTTTGCCACCCCCGTACATGTGCCCACCGCCAACACACACACACACACACACGAGTTAAACTCTTCTCCCCCATGTGACTTGTCTTCTCTGCATCCTTCCAATTGCGATCATCCACGTGTATTCCAATGGTAGCATCCGAAATTGTTAGAAAGAACGATAATAAGACGTCATTCCCATTCCCTCCTCTTTCTCTCTCCTTCTCTACCTGTTTGTTCCTACCCGCACCCAGCGAGAAAAAAATACTTGCAAAAAATGGTGTGCACGTCCCCCAAAATCAGAAAATACGCACATATACACAAAAAAGATGAAGGAGAAGGTCCATTTTACCTCACTCCTTAGTTTGGACTTGTCATGTGCCTCCACTCGGACTCGTCATGGTACTGCATGGGAATCTGCCATGTCGTCTTTGCGCCGTCACGGTTCACAAGCGGCTTCCAGTTCCAGAAAAGATCAAACTTGGCATGCTTCTCACGCATCTCTGGCCGGATCCACTGATCCAAGTAAATGTCATCCTCCTCGAGCGTCGGAACATTGGGCTGGTTCAGCACTAGTTGTCGGTAGTGTGGCCAACCGGGTTCCGTCCCCATCGCACGGTAGCAGCCCCAGAGGGTGTACCATGAGTAGAATACCATTATACTCCACGCCATCCAATACATTGGTTTTGTCGTCATATTGAGCCGCATGCCGTATCGGCTTGCCATCTCATCCATTGTGCTTTCCCACGACTCTTCCGTCATGCGAATACTTTCTTCGCGGGTGTAGGGGTACTTTGGGTCAAAAATTTCCTTTGGGTATTCAAACCACTCAATGTGGGGATTGAAGTCCATTGGAAGAATCGGCTCGTTGTGCGGCACAGCGGGGGGATGGGGCTGACCACTACGTGTGATATCCTTGTGCTCGGTCGAAATGCCCCGCCGTGGGCTGACTGCTACAATTGTCGAAGAAGCGCCAGCAAACATGTCAACTGCGGCAACGCACGGCCGACGAAGCATTTAAACGGGAAATTCACAAAAACAAAAACAAAAACAAACAAAAACGCGTGCTGATATGAAATACAAATGAATTTATTCCGCCTGTTTGTTTGTGTACGCCGCCCTACCAGCCTGCTTCCAATAACAACCGCGACAAAAAAGAAAAAAAAAAAAAGAAATGTCACGTCAATAACACCAACGACGGTGTGTGGCCCGGCCACGGCGGCACACATGTGGTACAATTTCTCACTCTTCCCATCTTATTGTGGCCTTTGTCCTTTCCCTCCAGTCCCAAACAAGCAAGCAAACAAATAAACACACACAAACAAACAAAAAAAAAAAAGACCTGCCGTCACAGTCATTTGGAAGGGTAATAAAACACACCTCGCTGCGTCTGACGCGCACAAGGCATCTCCCCCACCCCTCCAGTGTTTGATGACGATGCCTTGTCTACTTTTTAAATTATTATTATTTGCTCTATCTATACTTCTGCGTGTTTGTGCGTGAGTTCCTCCTGTCATGCAGCGGAACACATATTCATCCATTCAGGGAGAAAGCCGTGCCTCACTCAACACACGATAATAAGGCGAAATTTCCCTCAGTCCCGGACCAAAAATCTAAAAAATGAAGCCGTTGAATGCTGTGCAGTGGCAGGGGTAGTCACAAACATCACAAAAACACCAGAACAAATAAGAAAAAAAAAAAAAATAACTGGTAGATCTTTCTGTTTCATGAGGATGGGAAGTAGTAAACGTTCACTTTCATGTCGTAATTGGCGTCAGAAAACGCTCCTTCAAAAATATCCGTCCAGCCCCCCTCCCCGGGTTAATGAGCGTACAGCGGCTTCTACGTAGAGGAAGTCAACATGTTAAAGATGCAGCTATATCGTTGAAGGTCTAAACGTGCGATGCGTTGTCTTGTAGCGGGGGTAGATGCGAAAAAGTGATGGGCAATTCCCTTACCAAGATTAATTTGCCTCCGCTTCAATGTGCACACAGGTGAATCAATGAAGGCCGTTATGTGTCACCATCATTATCATCCTTATTTCTTGGTCTTCTTTTCTTCCATCCGTTTCACCCACTAGTAACAATAGTCAAATAAATGCCAAGGCTTCTAAAAGGCCCGCTGCGTCCTTCTTAAGACACGCGGCAACAGCTAGCCTTCGTGCTGTCTCTAGTCTTTCAATGGCACTGTAATTCTGCTGCAGCGCCTCCGAGAAGATAGCAGGGCACGATGAACACCCCACGACAGGATGCCCACTGCCACATGCCTCCTCTATCAAATGAGGCTCACTTCCACGCGATGCGGTGGTGATGGACCCTGTGATGCCGCCACAAGCGGCAGCCGAAGCTTCTGCGGCCACCTTACGCTCCTTTAGTTCCTTCTTCACTTCTTCAAGGACTTTTAGAAGTTTCGGCGCAACCGCAACACCGTCACACGTCATATGTGGCAGTGACATTGCCTCACCTTTATCTTCGCTCGGCATCTTACCATACTGTGGGGAAATATAAGTCGACTCATCCCCTCTCTTACCACGCGGAACAACAATGTCAGTGCGCATACAATTTCGCACGCCTCCATCACGCCCGCTCTCCGGCTTGATGTCAGTCGCAGCCGGACCTCTTACTTGGTTGTTGGCACCAGTCCCCAAATCCAGAGCAGCTTCGGGCGCATTGGGCGCTCCCGTATCTTCCTCGCGTGACCGCTTTCGTGGAGAGATCACATGTTTTCCAACCGAACCAGACGAAGGGCCACTTTCCAGCTCCAACGCACGTCCGGTTGTTGTACCTTCGTGTGATGATGGCACCTTACTGGGGTCTGCTGCGCCATGGAGGAACTTTTGTGCCCTACGCTCCAGTTCTTCCTTCTCTAGTCCACGGCGAAACGCCTCCGCACGGATCCAGCGCCACATCTTCAACTCCTCCACAAACGCCTTTCCCTCCATCCACGCAGAAACCGTCATGTTGCCCACCGCCGGCAGTGAAAGCGGACGGCTACACCCACCACAACCCTCCGCCACGTTCATGTCGCCATTGCCATCAACCACGGAGGAACTAAGAGTTTGCACAAGAGAAAGAACGCGCTTCGCATTGAGGAAGAGTGTCGTGGGAGTTGGATGCTGGCAAAACTGAATGTCGTGCAGCGAGACCAAAGCCGTTCCCCCTGTGTCCATTGAACCACCCTCGCATGGGGTATTAAAGATCGCATGAAGAAGTACCGCAATATCTTTCGCAGGAATGTTGCCAAAGGAAGCATACTCCCCGTGGAGAATGTCTGCAGCCCACTGAAGAATTGCCACACGAGCATAAATGCTGCCTTCCTGTAGATCCGTCATATTTTTTTTTTTCCCTTTAAATCATCAAAAAACAAATAATCAAAAAGAGGTCAAAAATAAATAAATAAATGAACCAAAAACAAACATCTAAGTAAATAAATAAAATACAAATAAATAAATAAATAAATAAATAAATAAATAAATAAATATATGCATTTATGCGTATATAATCAATAACAACAATAAATAATTAATAATAATAAACCACCGCCACCACCTCTACAATGAACAACCAAAACACACCCAATACAAAACATACGTTTCAATAAAAATGCAACTTCTTATGACATCATAAATTAAATACATTTCGCACACAACTACACCCGTACAGAAACTACTAACACGCAAAATAAACAAAATCAACAACAACAAAAATTCAAAAAAAAAACTCATGAGAATACGGATAGACGTCATCAATAAAACCACAGGCACACAGCCCAAAAAAGACAAGACACAGTCATTCCAAGATAAAACGACCCCTACAATTAACAATAGCCTCCACGCGACAGAGCACTAATATAGGATGCCCTAAAAAAAAAAAAAAAAAGAAGTGCCATTCACACCACACGCAAGGCAAAAAACAAAAAAAGCAAACAAACGACAACAACAAAATGTACAGCACTACACACACAAAAAGAAAATATAAAACCCCACAAAAATTACGAAGTCCTATCACAACGCAACTCCTGAAGTCGCAACGCAGTAGGGCGATCCCCTGGGGCGGTGCGGAGACACGCTTCCAGCACGGTCCGCAGCGTTTCGTCTGTGTCTGCAGGGGTCGGCACCGGTGTCAGCAGCCCATTACGCAGCGCCTCGCGGAACGCCGTACTGTCGGCTAGAAGCGAGTCAAGCTCTTTCCGTGAGCGATCTAACGCCGCATTCGCACTCCACTGCCAGGGGTGTGAGTCTGTCAGCATCGCGAGCAGCAGCAGCCCCAGCGCGTACACGTCATTCGCTGCCGTCTTCGCACCGCCGGCGGCAACCTCGGGGCTCACATAGTACGTCTCTTGGTGCATTATCAGCGGCGCGGCACCCAGCAGCATGCCCTTGAGCCGCCACCGCCCCTCCACACCAACCATCACATTCTCGGGGCACAAACGTCCGTGGATCACACCGCGCCCATGCAGGTGCGCCAGGCCCCGCAGCATCGACGCGACGTTCCGCCTCACGGCAGTCAGCGGCAGCTTGCGTCCGTACCGGGATTTCATTTCACGCAGTGTCCCACCAGGGACGTACTGCATCACAAGCACCACGCGGTGAGGTGGGACGTAACAATACGAAAGGTATTGCACCAGGCTGTCGTTGACCCTGAGGCCCATCAGCTCCTCAAGCGCAGCATCCACCTCAGCGCGTGACAGACGAGCGGCCGCATCAGTCAGCTGGTACACTTTCAGCACCGCCAGCGTCCCGGTGGCGGATATGGCCATGTACACGGGCGCGTTTTCCGTGGAGGGGTCCTCGATCGGATTCAGGGAGCGCTTCCACACGTT